CAGGGGGTAAAATGAGCAAGGAACGTTTGACTGTCCTAGTTGGAGGAAATGCGTCTGGGACAGAGAAATTGCCCTTACTTGTTATCGGAAAATACCGAAATCCCCGATGTTTCAAGAATGTAAAAACGTATCCTTTGGATTACAAGTCTAGCAAAAAGTTTTGGATGACATCCGTTTTATTTGAAGACTATGTAAGAAAATTGGATTGGAAATTCTTCGCTAAAAAAAGAAAAGTGATACTCGTTATGGATAAATGCACAGCACATAGTGATCTACCTAATTAGAAAGCAGTAAACTTGCAGTTTCTCCCGCCAAACACAACAGCAAAGTTGCAGCCGATGAACCAGGGTATCACAAAGTGCATCAAACAGTCTTATCATAAATGGCTTGCCAGAAAAATGATCTTAAATATTGTAAGCATTTAGAAAATTTGTAATTAATAAGCAATAATTAAATAATCCGACAATATTTTGAAAGTCCAAAACCGAAACTAACGGTAAGTCAAACTTCCTATATGTCGAAGTTTTTCGTCAGTCCTATCAGATTCGAGTTATCGCGAATTCACATGAGTACGTTCCTCGGTNAATTTTATCTGACGACGCCAATGGATTCGAACCCACATAACTGGATCCACACAATATTTTCGTCAGTCCTATCAGATTCGAGTTATCGCCAATTCACTGTATATATAAAGTGCTTGGTTAATAATAATGAAAAACCATAGATTTAAACTGTTTAGGTTAATTTTTTCCAATGTTATAAATTTACTTGTTAATCATTACACATTCAAATATATCAGATCTTTTTATTTGGTAACAAGGAGTTATACTTGTAAGATACAAATAAAATGTTTCATTTAGTATTTAATATTTCTACAGACATGGTGCGTAGCATTTTTAAAAAGTGCTTAAAGGTGCTTATTTACGATTTTTGTTTTTTAAAAGCCCTTAAAAAGGCTTTTCTTATTGAGTGTTTTTAAAAAGTGGTTAATTTTCCCTTTTCGAGAATAAGATTTTTTTTTCTTTACCATGTTGATTTTTGCCACATATTATGCAAAAGCCTGGTTTTCACATTGTTCTATTCAACGTTTTCACAATTCATTCAACCACAATCCGTCGATCCATAGCGTTTGAAAGTGCCAATCATTTAACATGCTTGATGAGATACTTGAGAGGTCGCGCGTGCGTATACTGAGCTGGATTCGGTGAGATTCTTTCACTCTCATGTGCACCCCTGCTGCATTTTGCAAGATATTCTCCATTTCAGGCTCTCAAATCTTTTTATGGTGGATAATATAATCAAGAAAAAGAGTTCTTTGTCAGAAACTAGTTATTTTATCATGATCATATAAAGTCTTAGAAAATTATTTTGCATTTTGTTAACGTATATAGTGCTTAAAAACATTTTTAGTAGTCTTAAAAGGTGCTTATTTTTAATTGAAAAATTTGGCTACACACCCTGTTCAGACCAATTATACCTTGCATTAAAAAAAATAATGCATCCTTTACTGCTGAAAAGTTCACACAAGCTGTTGTCCCTGTTCATCTATTTTCATTATTATTTTTTGCTAATTTGTAAAAACATAAATAAATAAATTAAGCAAATTTGTTTATTGCAGGGGCAATCAGATTTTGAATCTCTTTGGGCATCCATCTGCAACTCTTCGTGCAAAGATTAACACAGAATTAGTAACTTTCAGTCCATCATCGTCCCATTGGCAAGTAAGTATATAACAACAGGATTTCCACTCTACTGGAAAATACGGGGAATTTTCAGTTTTTCTTTCCAAACTGAGAGTTGTGTTTCTTATTTTCGTCTTATAAGAAATAGTTGCCACTCAAAGTGATGGGATATTTGACCTTTTGTCAGTGTCGCCCGAATACCGTTCGTGCAACTACTACAGGCACTATTTGTGATGCCTGAACTGACTTCGGGCTGGAGAAAAATTAATGTTTCTATTTTGTGAAAACCACGCTGACTTCATTTCTACTTTAGGATACTTAATTCACTATTTTCCTAATAGATGATCCTAGTTTTTCACCGATTACGACTTCAGTCGAGGGCGCAAAGAGTGCAATATGGGCTTGTGTGCAATACCGTGTTTTGGGATATACCATACTGTAAAAGATTTGTAAAATTTATTCATTGAAAATCATATTGATGTGTTTTTATATTATATTATGCTAGTTATGTTATATTTAGCTTAAAACTTTTGATTTATTTGCTCTAATCGAGTAGGATGTGTGCGTAATCCATTAATTTTTTATGTGTATGTAAAAATTATAAATACGTAGTTATTGCATTTAAAATTTTATTTTTGTAATAAAAACCAATTTTCTAACTTATATAATAATATAGAGAACAAAATTAAACAGTAAAAAAAAAATTACAATTTTTGGCCCATTTTTCTGAAATATATGCCACTGTTAAGGTGTGAAGGATGACATTTCCGCTATACTAATAATCAATGTTTACTAAACTAGTTTACTTAGCTATACTAGATTATTTTCTATAGCAGTATTAGTTTTTAAGTATGTTCAGCTGTTCCTCTTTTCCTTAATTTTTTCCAACAATTTAAGCTAGTATAGTTAGCCTGATACAACACATACAAGAGTACAGTGATTATGTTTTTCCTCTTAATACATGGAACGTAGCGTTTTTATAAAGTGCTTAAAGGTGCTTTTTTCATGGGGTGTTTTTAAATAGTGCTTAATTTTCCCTTTTCAAAAATGAGATTCTCTTTCTTTACCATGTCGATTTTTGCCATGCATTATTCAAAAGTGTGCTTTTCACAGTGTTCTATTCAACGTTTTCACTATTCATTCAACCACAATCTATTTCGTCGTTTCCACAGCGTATGAAAGCGCCAATCATTTTGCATGTTTGATAAATACTTTGATGAGATTATTGCACTCTCCTGTGCAACCCTGCGGCATTTTCAAGATATTCTCTATTACAGGCTTCATTTTCCACCCTCTGATGTCGAAACGAAAAACATCTTGATCATTTTATAATGGCTAATATAATCTAGAAAAGCGTTTTTTTTTCGTCAGAAACTAGTTATTTTATTATGATCATTTAAAATCTTTGAAAATTATTTTGCATTTTGATAATATATATAGTGCTTAAAAATATTTTTTGTCTGCTTGAAAAGTATTTAAAAGGTGCTTATTTTTTGTTGAAAGATTTGGCTACGCACCCTGTAATATATTGTGTGTAATATGTACAGGGAATTTTTTTTCCAGATTTGAGTGGCAACCCTGAACGATTTTTCTGATTATTTAATTCTATGAGTTTGGAAAAAACTATCTACTGTGTAACTTAAATTATCCATCTTAATTAGTACCTCTGTGTCCGAATTTATAGAGTGGTTCTGCTGTTCTATCTTCATAAATTCAAATTTGTCTGCAACCCCAACACAGATTGTTATTACAGTAGGGAACCGATTATCCGGTACGATCGGGACCATCGCTATTCCGGATAACTGATTCTTCCGGTTTTCTGAATCGCTACAAAAGGCCGTTTTTTTTATTATTGTTAAACCCAATTAAAAAAAAAATTTTTGGAAATAATCTTAAAAAGAAGAAAAAGCAATGAAGTAATACACTAATGATTATTTCCAAAATGATGGTAATTTAAACATCTTTCAAAAAAGAAAGAAAAATCCTAAAATCTTATGAGGAAAAAAAAAAGTTTTTTTTTTTAAAATGGCGGGAAAATTTATCGAATTTCGTTCCGGTTTTTAGGTTTTCTGATTTCCGGATAACGGATTTTGTACTGTATAAATATTCAGCTGAATTTAACTGAAATGTCGCAAAAATTGCAAAGTTATTTACAAATTATACATAAAAACCTTTGTGTCCTAAGCTTTATTTGAATGAACAATGATACTAGCAGATATGTGTTTTTTTTCTTCCCTTGATTCAGTAATTATTTAAGGGTATTTTCCGTATTCTTATGTACTAATTCATTAAGTTCTTAAAAAATTCATCAGCAGTTTGACATTTTCATGTCATTTCACACAGTGCATAGAGTTTTTAAAAAGTGTTTACAGGTGCTTAGTTTCGTTTTTAAAAGCCCATAACCCTCTCGCGACGGGGTGCCTTTCCTTAAAAGTCACGCTCGGGACAAAGCTTTTTTGGGATATTGCCATCCAAAATACTGGAGGAGAAAAAAATGTTATGCCAAATCATGTTTTTTTAAAAAAAATTTTGATGGAAGTTATAAATAACTATAACAGGGTGCATAGTGTTTTTAAAAAGTACTTAAATGTGCTTGTTTTTTATTTACGTTTTTTAAAAGTCCTTAAAGGTGCGTTTTTTTTTATTCAGGGTTTGTAAAAAGTGCTTGATTTTCTATCTTTTAAATAGAGATTTTTTCTTTGCTGTTTCGATTGTCGTTCTAAATTACAGAAAAAGAATGACTTTCAGAATCTTCTCTGAAATATTTATCAAAAACTAGCAATTTTTTATCATGGTTAGGTTTTTAAAACTGATTTTGAATTTTATTGTTTTTATATTAATAAATTAAGAACTTTAAACGGTAGAAAAAGATTATTTTTATTACTGCACAGATCATAATTATGATTTTTTTTTTTTGGAAAGTGATTAAAAATATTTATTGAGTGCTTAAAAGGTGCTTTTTTGTGGAAAAATCTGGCTATTCACCCGGTATAAATTGTCCCCAAAACAATCGGGAATGTGGTGATTCTGCACGAAAGCATAGATGGCCCTTGATGTGGAGAGTTCCTGCAGATATAGAACAATGAAAAATTACAAAGTGGTGAGTTTAAGTCAGTACGCAGTTGCTCTCTAATTTGCACGGCATGCATACATGTTATTTGAAGAGTCTCAATGGGACAAATTTGAGCTCAGTGTCTATCCCTCCAATTTGAAATTATAACACCTATACCACACATTCAAAGCAAAACTGCTGAATTCAGCAGGGATTAGTCTTAAATTGTGCAGGTGGAGGATTGTGTGAAACCTTGAAGCGGTAAGTTCACATAGGCTGATGAATTGGCCTTTTTAGGCTGCTTATAAAGAATAAAATATTATTTTAAATTTTCTAGACTTAGATTTTGAATCAAAGTTGTATGCTACCAAAGAGCTTTGAAACTTAAGTTTTATTTTTGTTTTTAGGAGTTATCTGATAGTGAAAAACCTGAGGAATTGGAAGATGTTCGAATAGTTACAGATGATGATAAAATGAATAGACTTTGTCTCTATGATTTGAAAACAATGAGGGAGGGCATTCGATGCAAAAGGTTTTACTCCTATTATTTTTCTTATCTTGTTTGTGTGTGTGTGTGTGTGTGTGTGTATATATATATATATACATATATATATATAGCGCAAAAACNTATATGTATGTATGTATATCTGTGTGTGTACCATACATAGTTACATATAGTGCCACCTTGTGGGCCACCTAATTGGCCTAAAATAATTTCCTTTGGTATGGAGCTGTAGTATCTTTTAATATAATAGTCTAGCCAAGTTTGCAGGTCAGCGGAATCAACTTCTTAACCTACAGATTAGAGTGTAATGTCTTTAAATAATTACAAAATTTATTAAAGGTTGAATTTTGTTTGAAAAGATTCAACTCACAAATTTTGCATTTTAAACTCCATACTTTCTTTCCCCTCTCACAGACAAAAGAAAAATAGGATAGAATAGAAAGAAGGTCAGAAAAGCTTATAAACAAGTTTCTTTGTTTTTTTATGAAAGAAAAGAAGAAACTCAGAAAAAATTTGCGCTAACTTTGTACAGAAAAATGCTATGATCTGTTAGAAAAACTTATAATCTGGGGTTTGCTTAAAAAAAGGTAACGTAAATTCTGGGATCATTTAACAATATTGACAATTTTCATAGATAAGATATAGAATATGATATAGGAAATTGGGTAATGTACGAAATGAGCAACACATACCACTTTATATAAATTGTTTCTAAAATCTGTTGAGTTTAAAAATACTCAGCTTTTTATAATAAGAGTCTGCTACAATTCTTATGAACTTTAAAACTCTGTTTTAAAAAAATATTCAATTTTGAAAAAGTATTTATTTTATTTATTCTTTTACTGACTTTTGTTAAACTTTATTCGGAGTATAAGCATGCTGATCAGGGAACGTTCATAAGTGAGACAAAGTAATAGCAGGCAGGGGAATATTAATTTATATTTTAATCAAATTGTGATCTCTCTTCAATACGTAGAACATTAATCAAGTGCAAGCATTAGTCCTTTCTCTTACCTTACCTTATATATATATATGGAGTTATTTCGCACATGGTTAAATAGCTTACATGCATTAATTCATACCAAATTTTATAATAACGAGTACAGGTGAATATATATATATATATATACACACACACACTGGTGTAAGAATTTAAGGGAATTTGCAGACTTGGTTGATTATCTCTAGAACTAATGGACAGATTTTAATGATATTTGATATGTACATACATTGATACAATACAAAACAAATAACCATTCAACAATTGTAATACACACACATGATCATAGTAACACTCGGAGTCGGAAGGTATGAAACAGCGGTTGCAGAATAAACCAAAAAAATGGGTTAATAAGGGATATGATTCCTTCTTACAGGTATACAGGCCTTGCAGCGGGGTTTCATACTTAAAATAAGGCACTTTATGACTTCCTTTTAATTGTCCTGTGGCAATTTCATGCCTTCCAACTCCAACGAGTGCTATGCACTATCATGCGTGTGTATGACGATTGTTGAATGATTATTTGTTTTGTATTGTATCAATGTATGTACCTATCAAATTTCAATAAAATTGGTCCAGTAGTTCCAGACATATTCGACCAAGTCTGCAAATTCTCTTTAAATTTCTTATGCCAGTCTATATATATATATGCATATATATATTTCAGTGCTATAACAAGTACTATTATATAAACTAAGATAACAAAAAGGACTAATGCTTGTTCTTGATTAATGTTCTGTGTATTGAGGAACTATCCCAATTTGGTTAAAATATAACTTAAAATTTCCTGTCTCACTTATGAACTTTCCCAGATCAACGTGTTTATACTCCTAATAATGTTTAACAAAAGTCAGTAAACGAATTGATATTTGTTTCCTGACTTTTGNTTTTTTTTTTTTTTTTTTTTTGCTCTTTTTTTCTTCCTTTCTGGTCTCTTACATGAAATTCATTCTGGCCATATTATTCTTACACGAATACATTTTTTCTTTAACATTCATTTTTGACTCTGTCTCTCCGTAGGTTAAAACTTGTAAAAAGAAGAGAGGTTGATAGGACAAATCCTGACCTGGATGAAGAGATTAATAAGCTGAATCAACTCTCGAATAAGGTTCGAGAAAGAATTGTTGAGATTGAACAAATTATCTCAATGTTCTCTGTTCAAAAGAAAAACTGGTAAGTGCATTTCTACTAATAATTTTTTATAAAAAGGACAACTTAAATATTAAGACATAAATTTTCACGAAAACAAAAAGTCATTGTAGCTTGTGTGTCCACTGGCATTTTTTCAGGGGCTGAAAACCAGAAAATGTTCATTAAAATTTTGTGTAAATTTTTTTGTTTATACATTGTTAAACTAATTTTATGTATGTGCAACAAATTTTCACTGTCAAGTTCAATAATCCAATTAAAGCTACTAGTCCAACACAGTTTTTAAACAAAGATTTTAACATTTTTGCAACATTTAAATTTTAGAACAGGGAAGAATAAATAATTATTTGAATTTTTTAAATTAAGTATGATTTGGACACAAAAGAATTATTAAAATCTAGTATTTTATAATTTTTTTTTAAAATTTCTGTTAAATATATCCATACCTGCCAAGTCACCTGTTTTATAATGAAGACTTTTGTATTTTATGAGTATCTCCTGTTCACCTGTATATTCTTAAATTTCTCTGTATTTGTTAAAGAAATTTAAGAAGAAAAAAGAAAACATTGGGGATTAAAATACTTCTTTTACTCCTCAACAGAATTGCAATATGTTGAATGTTTATAGTTTAAGTAATTATAAATAATGGTTTAAATAAATCTTCCTTGGATTAAGATTTATATACATATTTTTTACTTCTATAAATGTCAGTGCTTATATTATTTTCAATTTTGAATTTCTCTTTTTGACTTACAAAATTATGCATGATGTATTAAAACTTTACTTGTAGCCCAAAAATATCGCTAGTAAAATATCTGTTCTTTTATTTCACCAATGTTGGCAGGTAATATCCCACATAGCTTTGTTTTTAAATTAGTGAAGAAATCATAAACTATTGCATTAAATTTAAAACTACAACTTTTACACACATTTTATGATTCAAAGTTTATTCAAAATGACATGTAACGAGCATTAAAAGGTTTAAAAAAAATTTTTTTTAAAGCAAAAGTTTTAATTTATTAGATTTTCAAGGGATGCAAGTGTGAGCCTCCTTGACCTACCTTGCGGACATCCATAGATTGTTGAAAATGTTAAGCTTACTTATAATAATTCACTTTGACTGGTATCCTAGTTACATTAAATGTCTTTTTTTCTCAACCTAAGTTTCCTCCAGTATTCCTTCTAAAGAATATTTTCTAAAATTAATTTTAAAAAAGAAGAGAAAATGCAGACTTAAAATTAAAGAAATTGTAAATATTTGAGATGATTGTGCTCTGGAAAAATACGGATTTTTCACTAACCACAATACAAAAGTGTCCGGAAATCCAAGACACAGAAGTTTCAAGAAATCATCAATCACATTAATATTCAAAAATTCTTGTATATTTTATTTAGAAATATTAGAACTGAAATTTGCATTTGGCATCTCTTTCATTTGTAAATATTTTTTTTCTGGTAGAATAATAAATGTGATTAGACATAAAAGTAAACTTATACATAATTATTCATTTTAATTTTGCTGCATATAATTTAGTTGGAATTTCATATTTTGAAAACATCAATGATTTAAATTTAAAAAGACATTAATTTTTTGAAATGGGTCCTTAATGATTTTGCTCAAGAAATTTCAGGATTTTTGATTTAGGCTCACAATCATCCCTGAAATATCAAAATAGAAATACAGACTTTAACCTGAAATAATTAAAGTTTATTTTAAAAAATATTAAAATGGAAAACTGTAAAAAAGAAATTTTTTTTTATTTCTAATATTTTCTTTGAAGTGTTTCATGATGCATGTTTAGATTTTTAATAAATGCATCATCAAATTATTTATTAAGAATGATTTAATGATGCATTTTTTAAGAAACTAAACATGATACAGTTTATTATTTAAATGTAATATAACTATGCATTTTCTTTTCTTTTGAACCATTTAAGAAAAATCATACATGTCTTTTAAATTTTATTCAATGTAATTTCTATGCTATCCTGCTGCCTTTCTTTCAATATAAATTCAAACGAGCAAAGACTTTTCTACCTAATATATTAATTCCCATAAAGAAATACTTTTAAATTTATACTGATAATTTGAATTCGTTAATAATATAGAAGTACAAAATTACTGTAACTCTTCTACATGTAATAGAAATCATAAGAATATCTGAGGTATTTACAGTTTTACTATTAACAATCCTTACGTTTTGATTTTAATTTGTTTATATTTCCAAGCTATAATTCATGTTCTCTTTTACTTGTTCATTTTAGTTTAGGATCTCTCTATATTTTTAAAAAAAGAAAAAAAATTACAATTTTAGACTTTTTTTTTCATTCTTATAATGCAAAACCTATCGAATGAAAAAATTTGTGCATTTTTAGAAAAGTGCTTAAGGAGTATTCTGATGAAAAATTTTATTGATGCAGATATTAGTTTTTTGAGATATTTTAAGTTTTTTTTTTTTTTTTTTCATGTTCTCTTATACACTTGAAGAAAGAATTTCAGCAATAATATTTTTCAGACACTCTTATTCCTAACTGTAAAAATAACCTTGCTCTTAAAAAAAATAGTTTAGAAGTTATAAAATTTTTACTCAATATTATACAAATTAATTTAGCGAGAATTATACACATTAATTTTGAGAGAATAAATTTTCTTCAAAGGTTAATTTATTTTTCAATTCTGTTTCTCAATGTATTGAAATTTGTATTGGTATGTTGTATTTAAAACTATATGCCATATCTCATAATATTCCCTGTGGCAGTATTTTTTCGTGCTTTCTGCCACAAATCTCTCTAGCACTAATATCTTTCTGCAAGATACTTTCAATAATGACAAAGATGTAAGTTACTAATTTAAGGTAACAAAAACACTGTGTTTACGGGGGAAAAGAAGGAAAAAAAATTTAAATAAATAAATAAAAAACAATATAATTTTTTTAATTAAATATGTAATATTTTTTTAATTCTAATATTATGGGCAATATTCTCACATTTTGTTGGGAGAGGGAACACACAAATTATTTCGTTTATCTCATTTTGTAAATCATCATCAAATTTAAAAAATAATTAAATACTATGAAATCTGTAGCAGTAATTACCGAAAAACAGATCGGCGACGAAATCACATTAATCGAACTCTTTAGAAAGGAGTTATTCAAATGCATGTTTCATTTCAAGATTTGATTGTCGTAATAAATAATATCGTGTAAAATATATGAGGTTGTAGAAACTATGTGGAAATGAAAAGCAATAACTGCCAACAAAAAAAAAAATCGATAGAATTATTACCTCAAAAAGTAAATAATAAAATGCGAAATATATCGGGATATCTAAAAGTCACGTGAAAAGCAATGTCAATAACTGCTGAAAATGCAATCAAAATGAATTTATGATATCAGCATAAATTGAGCACTTGTGATTATTTAAATGTCCGATTCAAATTTTACGTGTAAGTTTCTGCAGAAAAGCAAACCAAAATCTTTTACTCCCCCCCCCCAAAAAAAATCTTTCTGCAAGAACTCTGTTAAGTTCTACGACAATGTCGCTTCGATTCTGCCACGGGGATAATATTATTGATCTTTGCATATATATTTTTTTCGTTTAAAGGATGTCAAAAATTTTCTTTGCATTAGTCAAACTAATATCCTTTTTTTTTTCTTCCTTTAGAGCTGATTTTGTTGGTAAAAGCTCTTACCAAAGTGATATCCAAAGTTACCTGTCTAAGCTGTGATTTGTTGGATGATCAAAACTTTATTATTGACTTAATGTTTAATTTTATTGAATATCATTATTCATTGTAAAAAAATTAGTATTGTAAAATATCATCCATCCTGCATCAAGTAGAAGCTCATGTAGATGTTCTAAAATTTTTGTAGTTATCATTATGTTACAATTTTGTATCATTTGCCATTAAAATTTTGTTCATATTTGTGGCCTATTTAAATCTGTTGCAAATTTTACTGCAGAACTAATCTAGTTAGATATTTAGTGTTTTTGGCGCAAGAGCCAGAAATGGCTATACCGCACCATGAACTTGATCTAAAAAACAGAAGATTATAGTGTGGTTTATCGCCAATAAGTAAATGTAAAGTAGGATTATTGCAGCCAAAATAGCATTGTCTTAGAAATTTAAATTTATTACACTGGGTCAGAACGTGTTTAACAGTTAATGGTTCATTACAGCTAGAGCAATCTGGTGCAGGTTCACTTAGTAAGAGATGTCTATGTGTAATACGTGTATGACCAATGCGCTAACGATTCAATATAACTTCGTATTTTCTCGGCAAACTTTGTTTCATTACTGGTTCTATATTTGGTATAAGACTGTGTAACTTATTATTTGTCTCCTCATTCCAACTTTTTTTGCCATTCGAACTGTAGTGTAAGATCAAAACTAATCTACATTGCGAGAACTATTCAGTTTTTAAAAATTTCTCTAAGGATGCCATTTACTTTGTTAAAGAATTGAGAGGACTCAAACCCAAAACTGTTTGATTAATTAATATTATCACATTAATTAGGAAAATTAGTCTTAAAATTCTGGCCATCCTGCATCGACTAGACTCTTGTTTAAGTTTTCTAACATTTTTACATTTATTATACTGTTATAATTAAGTGTGATGTACCATTATAATTTTGTTTACATTAGTAATCCATTTATATCAGTTGCATCTACTTTTGAACTTGGCTCTATTGCCAGAACTATTCAGTTTATTAAAATATCTTATTTATTCCATTTACTCTATTAAAGAATTGTGGGTCCCCCAAATTATTTAATTAATTTTCAGATTTGCACTTTGCAAGTTAAATTTTTTGTTTGCGTTACATTTCAGTGCATATTGCTTGTATTTTCGAACTTATCTTTTAAGGTTCAAATTGGGGAGTTAGCTATACTACCCATCCAACTGGCTAACAGGAAAGCACTAAAGCATACACCTTGAATAATAGAATGCTGCTTTTAAAATGTTATTTCATGTTAATGTAAAAGTCAAGTATTTTTAAAACATTTTTTTTAAAGTTGAATTGAAGTTTGGTTATTAATGCCCTTCTAGCAGGGTTGANACCTGGAAAAATCAGGGAAATTTGAAATCTGATTTGAGTGGCCACCCTGTATACTACCTATCCAACTGGCTAACAGGAAAGCACTAAAGCATACACCTTGAATAATAAAATGCTGCTTTTAAAATGTTATTTCATGTTAATGTAAAAGTCAAGTATTTTTAAAACATTTTTTTTAAAGTTGAATTGAAGTTTGGTTATTAATGCCCTTCTAGCAGGGTTGACAAAAGTCATGATTTTTTTTTTAAAAATCAAAAATCCGATTTATTTGATTTAAGTCGGATATTTACCAGCCATCAATCAATTTTGAAACCATCTGATAAATTTTATTAATAATACTTTATTATTTAAAAATATTAATACTACAGCTAAAATGATTAATATTTCTACCTAAAATGTTTAAAATTATTGTTTAATTATTTCAAACTAATCACTGAAATTAAATTATAGCTATCTTTGTTCGAGCTAAACATCCTAAAATTTTAAAAACATTTGGGCAATTTGTTAGTTAGATAATGTTGTTAGTTAGATATCTAATAAAGAGTAAATTAGTTTAGATCTGTATACATTGATGGAAAAAAAAATCTCTCTAAACTACACATTTGATAAGTTTCAAAAGCATTTGTGTGTAAATAAACATAAAAGAACGAGTATCATTGAAATATGTCTATTGCTAGCTAATTACTTTATATATGGGTGATGGAAAATTATAATTTAAAAGTTTTGTGTCACTCTTATCCACATTTAGAACTTTTAGAATTTTATTTTATATTTTAGCGACTAGCTTTTTTAAAAGCCCCTTAAAGGCAGAGTTTGTTTATTTAAATTAGCTTGATTTAAATCAACTGATTTTTTTATATATATATTGATTTTAAAAGTTAAAAAACATTATTTTAAATTATTGATACTTCTATTATTTCTATTCTTAGTTTTAAAATTTATTTTAAATGAATTGCTGCATTAGCTTTAAAATGTATTTTTGCTGCATTAATTAATTTTGAAATTACTTTTTTTCATGGTATGCGTTAAATTCCAATACATTTGAAATTACATTTGTAAACATCTAAGTATTTTTCTCTCATTATCTTTTACATTATCAGATTTTCTGTAAGGAAATTTTGTGGAAAAAAAATTTAAATGAGTTCATAGATTTTTGTAAAAATTTTTTTCAGCTAACTTATTTTGATATAGGATTAAAAATGAATATTTTGATATAAAAATATATAGATTAAATATTTATTTATTTTTTGATGAATGACTACATTTATGAACACAATCTGTAACATTTATTTTGTCAATTTAAAAATCTAGAGAAAAATAAGAAATCTCAATTTTGAATTAAAATTGTGGTTTGGTAATTGAAACTTGACTTTAATAGTTGAAGAGTTCTTTAAATTCTCTATTTCATCTAGTCTTTAAATTTCAACCATGCATTTGTTTCAAAATGGTTGCTATGTATTCAAAGCTATATATTATAATTAAAAATTGTTTTAGGTAGTTAGAGCCTCTAAAATATTCTTATAATATAGTTTTCATATTAGTTTAATTTTGATTAAACATTTATAAAGTTTTTTTAGTCATAAATCAAAGTTCTTACAGTGTATTTGAATAAAAATAAAAAAAAATCCGATTTAAATCGAAAAAGTCTGTTTTTTTTTAATTTTTTAAATCACTCACCCTGCTTAAAAGTGCTTTTTTTATTGGGTGTTTTTAAAAAGGGCTTAACGAAAATGAGAATTTTTTTTACTTTACCATGTCGATTTTCGCCACATATTATGCAAAAGCGTGGTTTTCACATTGTTCTATTCAACGTTTTCACAATTCATTCAAACGGAATGCATTTCCGCATACCATCGTTCCAAAGCATATGAAAGCACTAATCATTTTACTTGTTTGAAGAAATGCTTGCGGGTCCGCATGTGCGTATACTGAGCTGGATTCAGTGGGAATTATTTTTGCACTATCATGTGCAACTCTACTTCATTTTGCAAGAGATTCTCAATTTCCCGCTTCATTTTCCTCCCTCTGAAATCGAACCAAAAAATCTTATCTTTTTATGGTGGCTAATGTAAGCAGGAAAAAGAGTTTGTCAGAAACTAGTTATTTTATCATGAACATGTAAAGTCTTTGAAAACTATTTTGCATTTTGTTAATGTATTATAGTGCTTAAAAATATTTTTAAATGCTTAAAAGGTGCTTATTTTTTGTTAAAATATTTGGCTACGCATCCTGCCCGGAAAGAAATCTTATAAACTGTCTCAACCGTTTTACTATTATCTTTTCAAAAGAGCTTGTTTTCTGACAAAAAGAAAGATTGTCAAAAGTCTACATCATACTCGACAAATGCCCAAAGAAAATACTGCCTAAACCAGGGATGGGGAAACTACGGCCCGCGGGCCAACTGTGGCCCGCCGGAGGATTTTATCCGGCCCGCGGATAGCCGATGTATATTGTTTATATTTGCCGATCAGCGGCAAATATAAACAATATACATCCATTTTATTGTCGACTATGTTTAAAATTATTTCTGTTTCTCCTTTTTTAACAAAGTACTGATGACATTTTTACTTTCACTATTTTTGTTGTACAAAACATAAATTGATGGAAATAGTTAGCACAGACAGCTTCTATTGGTAAAATGTTGAAAGCAGAAGTTCTTTATAGAATAGCCGTAGATTGGCTCCAACTAGCGTTTGTCTTTCTCGAGGAGCTGACTTATGGAATCTAATATAGGTAAATTGTACTTCACATTTGGCAGACTGCGGATTTTACGCTCCAAAGAGCGGACAATCTAACAATCATTTAAAGCAGTTGTTTCTAAATATGCCTAAGTTTGACAAATCATTACCAAAAGCTAGTTTCCAAAATGTAAAATTTCACGCCCAGAAAATCAGTGCTATGTTAGCTTAATCTTATATACGTGAACAAGAGTTTTCAATTATGAACCTTAGAAACAATTATTTCAGAAGTAGACTAACAGAAAAAGATTTAGTCTTGTTCCTTAAAATAAGCACAACTCACTTCGAACCTTAATATAAGGAACTTTTAGAAATGAAATCGCAATTTCCTTCATCCCACTAAATATTTAAATTAAAACTTGTATATCGCTTTTTTTTCTTTCTTANGAGCTTGTTTTCTGACAAAAAGAAAGATTGTCAAAAATCTACATCATACTCGACAAATGCCCAAAGAAAATACTGCCTAAACCTATAAAAACCTTCCAAGGAAGAACGTGAGAAGCACCACCTCTCACCACTTTGTAGAAAGACATTTGCACCACATTGTTGTTTTTTCACCCGTCTGTTTTACAAGGGCTTATTTGAATTTTAAATCATAAGTAGTCTCATTCTAGTCTGGAAGACGAACACTTCTCTGATGCTCGCTATTTTAATGCTGCTGAACTCTACTGAGAGGAGTTATGGTCTTTGGACTCGATATTGGATAAAAAAAATCCAGTTATTTTTATATTAGTAAAACGTATGTATAAAATTTAAAAACATGGTATTGAATGCCATGGTCTTGATAAGGATTGGCGATCGAAATGGGCTACAGGTGGCGTCGTGCAGAACTCTTTACCTTTGGCAACACTTCGCATGCTATCACCATCAGCGTGTGGAGAGTCATAGAAGAAGGAAAACGTTAGTTCGTGTCTTGATTTTCAAATNGTCCAATCGTTTCGCAAACAGAATCTATATCGTCAACCGCATTTTTGACCACTTTCCGGCTATTTACAAATGTTATTTATTTATTTATTTTTTTGAAACTCTGTGTCTGATGACAACGCAAGCTGCAATAGCTAAATGGCTTCCTAAATGGTACAAGCAAATATTGTCAACCAAAATTTTGATCATTTTTGACATAAATATAA